GACTTCTTTTACTTTGTTGTTTAGCTATGGTGGCTCTTTTTTGGTTCTCGTACTATGTTTTTGAATTTGGGGCATATACTTAAGTTGAGCCTCTGAGATAGGATAGATAGATAGATAGATAGATGGGGTGGAGTGGGAGTAGATAGAGAGAGAGAGAAGGGGTGGATGGGGATAGATAGATAGATAGATAGATAGATAGATAGATAGATAGATAGATAGATAGATAGATAGATAGATAGATATGTCTGGGTAAGGAGGGATGGCGGGGTGGATGGGGATAGATAGATATGTATGGGAAAAGGCGGGTGGATGGATAGCCAGATAGATACGGTAATGGATAGATATGTATGGGGAGGGAGGTCTGGCTAGATAGATAGTTATGTGTGGGAAAAGGCAGACAGACAGACAGACAGATAGATATGTATTGGGTGTGCAGACAGCCAGATAGATATGTATGGGGACAGATGGACAGACAGGTAGATATGTATAGTGATGGAGGGACAGACAGGTAGATACGTATGGTGATGCGGGGACAGACAGGTAGATATGTCTGGGGATGGAGGGACGGACAAACAGACAGACAGACAGGTAGAAAGGGGGAAAGGGGGTTCCAAAAAGGATGGCTCTAGACTGTTCTCAGTGGTGGCAGATGACAGAACAAGGAGCAATGGTCTCAAGTTGCAGATGGGGAGGTTTAGGTTGGATATTCGGAAAAACTTTTTCTCTAGGAGGGTGGTGAAGCACTGGAATGGGATCCCTAGGGAGGTGGTGGAATCTCCTTCCTTAGACAAAGCCCTGGCTGGGATGATTTAGTTGGGAATTGGTCCTGCTTTGAGGACTAGATACCTCCTGAGGTCCCTTCCAACCCTGATATTCTATGATTCTGTATGTATGGGGATGGACAGACAGACAGGTAGATATGTATGGGGATGGATGGACAGACAGGTAGTTATGTATGGGGATGGACAGACAGACAGGTAGTTATGTATGGGGATGGACGGACAGGTAGAGATGTCTGGGGATGGACGGACAGACAGGTAGATGTTATGGGGATGCACGGACAAGTAGGGATGTTTGGGGTGGATGGACAGACAGGTAGAGATGTCTGGGGATGGACGGACACACAGATGTTATGGGGATGCACGGACAGGTAGGGATGTATGGGGTGGATGGACAGACAGGTAGACATGCTATGGGGATGGATGGACAGACAGATGTTTTGGGGATGGACGGACAGGTAGAGATGTTATGTTGATGGACCGACAGACAGCTAGACAGATATATGCATACAATGCCAGTAGATGGCTAGAAAGAGCCAACGGGGGGCTAGCTCACGGCTCTGACACAGGCTGACTTTCCCTGGATACGTGGGGGTCTTATACCCACCTCTCCCCCTGCCGACTGCCCCCTGGCAAATGCCCTCCCTCGGAGACACCCCTCCATGGGGGTAGCTGGCGATTCACAGCCCCCTTCGGCTCCCCACCCCCCAGACAATACAAATATCCTCCAGGTTGTTTGGCACTTTGTCATTTGTCCGTTCCCTTGTTTCTGGGGCAGGGGAAGAGGTGGGGATTTGGCCCCGACAGTCAGCGAGCAGGAACAAGAGAAGGGGAAAACAGCCGGCGGAGGAACAGAGAGAGAGACCTGGGAGGAAGAACAGAAGGAAAAAGCGTGTAGAGGAGGAGTAGAAAGGAGACTCTCGGCAGGCTGGAAAGAGGGAAGGAAAAAGTGGCTGGCGGAGATAGAGATGGGGGGGACGGGGTTAAGAGAACGGATCGATTCCATCCCATCTGCTTTCCCCCCGTTTCGTTTTTTTTTCTCATTCCCTCCTCTCTTTTTTTGTCATCGTTTTTCTTTATCGGGATCAGAACATGCAACGCGCCTGGTTTGTTTGTTTTCTAAACAATTTTCCTCCTCCCCCCCGCAAAAAAAAGTCTCTTAGTTAAAAAAAATTACACCCGCCCTCCCCAACCCTCCCCAACCCCGAAAAAATTGAATCTCAAGTTGCCATTACATTCAAAGTTTGGCTTGGAAAAAAATCGAGTAGAATTACCCCCCACCCCCATGAAAAAAAAAAACAATTTCCAGGTGTAACTTTCCCCCATTCCTGGCCTCTGTGGGGCACGTGGTTTCCCCTCCAGGAGTGGTGGTTGCGGGGGGCGTTGGCTTCTCGGTCGCGAGTGAAGAACTGTTGGCTTCTCTCAAAGGTCCTAGACTACCGATTCCGTACCGGGAAAGACGCTGGTTTCTCCGCCTTACACCAAAAGGACTGAAGAACGGTTGTGCTCCGTCACTCTGGGTAGAGCTTTGAGGATCTCCATCATCCAGCCAAGGTGAACCATGGGCTCTCGGCCTCTCTCCAATGGCTCCCGGTGCAGATACTACGTTGGGAAAACCGTTGAGCGTCTCCATCCTCCAGCCAAGATGAGCGAAAAAGGGTCGGTTTCTCTCCAACACTGTACAGTTCCGGTCCTACCTTGGGAAGGGCGTTACCACCACCCGTCCATGAGGAGTGAGGGACGGTCGGTTTCTCTCCAACACCTTTCAGCGCTGATACAACGTTGGGAAGGATGTTGGGTACGTCTCCACCATCTGCCCAAGATGAGCGAAAGACGGTCGGTTTCCTCTCCAACACCTTCCGTTGCTGATACTGTGTTGGAAAGGACATTGGGGGTCTCTGCCGTCCATCCAAGGGGAACCGAGGATGGACGGCGCTTCTCCAACACCTTCCCATGCTGTTACCAGATGAGGAAGAGTATTGGCACCCCATCATCCATTCAAGATGAATTAATAACAGTCGGTTTTTCTCCGGTGCCGATACTGTGTCGGGCGTCTCTATCCTCCGTCTAAGAGGAGCAAAGGACGGGCGGCTCTTTCCAACACTCCCCAATGCTCCTACCAGGTTCAGAAGGGCGTCGGGACTCTCCGCCGTCCACCCCAGATGAGCAAAGTACGGTCGGTTTCTCTCCGGTGCCAAGACTGTCCCCACCGTCGGTCCGAAAGGAACCGGTCAATTCTCATTGTGTGTGGGAGACCTCCTCATTTGAGCTCGGCCCACAACCCCCTCCCCGAATTATTGTATAAAAGAACCCACCCACCCCAAAATCCCGGTGGCGCGGCACACAAAAAGATGCCACGTCTCCCTTTCTTTCCCCCCACCCCTCCCGCCCCCGCCGTCAGGGGTGGGCGGCTGGGCAGAGAGGAAGGGCCCTGCCCCTTCACCGCGATTTCCCCGTGGCTGGGGTGGGGGAGGCAGCTATACTCGGGTGGTGGAGTGAGGGTGGGGCAGGGTGTTGTTGTGCCCTGTGGGGAAGGTGTTGAAAGGGTGCAGGGCTGGCATGCCCGTAATGGTACTGGGGATCATGGTGATGGTGTTGGGCGTCATCAGGGGCACGTCGTCCGGCGCCCGGCGCAGCGCGAGAGTGTAGTCCGGCGGGCAGGCCGGGCGCAGGATCTCGTGGGGTCTCAGCGCCTCCAGGTCGTGAGCATCGTGCTCAGAGTGTTTGATCTGCAGGGACATGAGCTCCTCCTCCTGGCCGCCGTGCACCAGGTCGTTGGCCGCGTTGCGTTGGGGGCTGAGGCGCCGGCCGCCGAGGACGCCCGCCCGCAGCTCGTGCCGCTTGTCCCGCTTGTAGTAGAGGGCGGCGAAGGCCAGGATGTTGAGGAAGAGCAAGGAGGCCCCCACGGCCACGGTGACGCTCAGCTCGGTGGAGTAGTCCCGCGAGTCCCCCGGGAAAGGGGCGTAGCGCCGGCGGTCATCCGCCTCGTCCTCGTCTGGTGGCAGGGTGGGGAAGGGCCGGCGGGTGGTGCTGGGCCCCGCCCGGGAGCCGGGGGGCCAGCGGGTGCCGTAGGGCGGGACGCGGGTGGTGGTGGAGGTGTAGACAGGGTCGTGGAGGTGGTGGAGGTGGGGCACCAGCTCCAGCCAGAAAGCTACCTTGTTGGCCCGGTAGTTGTCCCGTACCCGGGGTTTGAGGCCGATGTGGAGGTACTGCTTGTCCTTCGTGTTGAACTTGGTCCACACCACCTCCTCGAAGCGGTTGGGCTTGGTGTGGATGAACTTGGTGTCCTGGGGCACCGGCTGGTTGGGGTCCCTGCAGGGAGGGGAGACGGAGTTATGGTGGTGGTGGGGAATCTGGCCCGGAGGCAACCACGGGATGGGGGGTGTTTCTAGAGGGCACCGGGTCTTCAAGATGGATCTGGGTGCAACACATTCCTCACTGCTATCCGCCCCACATCCCCTCATCCATCCATCCATCCCCCCGTCCACCCATCCATCTCTCTCTCCCCGTCCACCCATCCATCTCTCTCTCCCCATCCACCCATCCCTCTCCCACCACCCATCCATCCATCCCCCCGTCCACCCATCCCTCTCTCCCCATCCATCCATCCCCCACTACCCATCCATCCATCCCCCCGTCCATCCATCCATCCATCCATCCACCCATCCTTCCCTCCCCGTGCATCCACCCATCCATTCATCCTTCCCCATCCATCCCTCCCCAGCCCACCCATCCCCCCCAGTCCATCCCTCCCTCCCCATCCCTCCCTCCCCATCCATCCATCACCCCATCCATCCATCACCCCATCCAT